TCTGGAGTTCCATTTCATCAAAAGTTCTGGTAAATTAAAAGCTATGTCATAAAAAAATGTTGGCACAAACTTCACAGAGCAGGGAGCACCATTTTATTCAAAAAATCAGAAGGGTGCTCTGTGTACCCATCTGGGAAGTTAATGAAAACATTTTTTTGTATTCCATAGCTTTATTAATTGACCAAAACTATTGATGAAATAGGAATGTTTCTAATACAATAACAAAATTCAACATCAATTTTAGTAATGTACAGTGATGCCCAATATATAAGTAACGACTCTTGTGAAAATCCCTTTAAAAATTCGGTGTATGCACCCGGACTAATATCAATTAAAGCCTCCCGCTGTTTCAATAACTTATTTCTTATTGTGGTTTGTGGTACGAGATTGTCAGGTGTATCTCTGAATATTTCTAAGATTTCGGGCTAATATTCACATCGCCAGAGTAATATTTTCTACTTCATCTAATGAAGCTGACTAAAAAAAAACTGACCAGCATCATCATCGATGTTCATTGTTCAATTCTAGTTGATATGAAATAGATAAAGAACTTGTTGAATATAAAGCGGTATCGCCGGTATAATTTCTTTTTCAAATTAGAGTTTGTCTTTAGTGTATCCTTCAATTATTTTTCCTCGAAATCATATTTCTTGATCGTTCTTAATATACATTTTTCTCTGAATTTGATGGTTTTGCGAAGAGAAAACGGTATACACCCTATTAACTTGAAACGCGATTATCTACTTCCAGGAATTCTAATTTTCATTTATTTCGAGTGTCTCAAAAACGCGCAGCGACAAATAAATTCTTCTTTTTTTAATGGGATACCTTGAATATTATTGCATTCTCAGATTCTACGATTCTAAGTTTGTTAGATTTTTTTTATATAACAAAAGTTTATAGTTTCGGAATTATGAACAATAATTGTAAATTGATATTTCGACTATTTCAAGTCCAGTTCAGTGAGGAAACATTTGGAATAGTATAGCACTGACAAATATAGCCATTTTCATTCGTCTCTAAACCTACCATACATATTTTATTTTCTGAGTGGTCATCGCTCCGAAAAATTCGATGGTTTTGTGGTTTTCAACCTCACACACTGTAATTAGGTTTGTAAATTCTAGCAAAAATCAGGAAATCTCATTAGAAACGTTTTTCGAGAAGTATGTGTTTATACTTATATTTATTTCAATCAATGTTAATTAAAATATCAAACGTGAGTAGTATGCTGTCGTAGAACTGGTAAAAATAAAAATTAGTAACTAAACATATTTTTTCATCTCTTGAAACGTTCGAACCTATATTCGTTCAATATAAATAGTGTTTGTTCAAATACTATAACTCTTCATCTATACAGGGTGTAAATTTGAAAACTTTCAATGCGAATATCTCGTGAAATAAAAAAGTTAGAGAAACGCCGCTTGGCAAGAATTCTAATGAGTTAAGGGGAACTAGAACCACTATATTTCAGTGAAGGGATGAGTCACCCTGTCAGCGCAACACACCCCAACTTTGAAATGTCAAATGGCACTACCTCTTTTGTGATACCTCAAATGAACGGTCTCAGTCGGTAGTATTCACCTGTACAAGACTTTTCTCCAACCACTACAGGGTGTACGAAAAACATTAATTCGAGGGTCTAAATTTGAAAACTTTCAAGGCGAATATCTCGCTAAATAAAACAGTCAGGAAAACGCCGTTTGGCACAAATGCTACAGAGTTAGGAGGAACTAGAACCATCATACTTCAGTAAAGGGATGAGTCACTCCGTCGGCGCGACACACTCCATCTTTGAAATGTCAAATGGCACATTTAGTATACTATGGCATAATTGGGTAATGACAAATTATTATTGAGGACCTACTTCAAACATATCTGTACCGATTTTTATAATTCGAATATCCAATGTGTCTAAGAAAAAAGAATAAGTAGGCAATATTTTTTATCATGATAGTTCTTTTCCTATAAATATATATATATATATAAATAATTCTTCTTTATAGCTCATCGATATTTCTTTGTGCTGATAGATTCAACAGTATGAAATATAATTTTGGTTTTTAATAGTTATTTATTATACAATGGAAAAAAGTAGTAGATTTCAGCTCCAAGCGGAGGGAGACAAAAAACCGTGAGTTAAAATCTAATATTTTTCCCTTGTATAATACATTATTTTCTTCTGTGACAGAAGGAAGGACGAATCAATATTGAGAAGATATTACATTATTTCGGAATCTGAAAATTATCGACGTGAAATTTCAAGTTTTTAACAGTAGGGACACCTGCGTTTTATAGACATCTTTATCATTCTTTCGAAGTAATCAAATATCTGATGTCACTTCTGTCAGTTCAATTCTGTGATTTGATTTCAAAAAATTGCGAATTCAGTAGTTGTTTAGTAATATACGAAACCGCGAAGTCGAATGGAATAAAAGGACTTGCAGTTCTTTCTCGAAGACGGTATTATTGACTCATTTTTCGGAACTATAGCACAACAAAAGCCATTAACAGAGTATATACCTATATGTGATATATATCCGGGAAAAAAGTACTCACTTTTTTCCCACGGGAAAAAAGTAATTCATGAAAAGTGACATTTTATAACCTGCCAACAGAGATGAAATGCCAAACTTTTTTCCTGTCACAGAAAAAATCTATTTTACATGGTGATAATAATCACACTGTAGATATCCCTGTTTATGGAATTCATATTTCCACTCCAAAGTGCATTATGTAAACCAGTTCTCTCTAGTGAGAAATCATGATTTTCAGTGTTTCAGTTAGGTATAGAGAAAATCATTTTTGAAAATATTCTCGAAAGTCGTAATTACTCCGAAAAAGTTGAAATTGGTATAATAAATCACCTGATATATTTTATGGTTCATATCAGAGTAATATATAGAATCAAAAATGTAGAAAAACGTGGTGCTCTATTAGAAATAAGGGAATTCTATTTACCTCCCGTATTTGGAAGTGCGCTATGCCTGATTAATCAGAGGCCCTGGATTAATCCTCGGATTTACCCAAAATTTTCAGAGATTTTTTCAACTCAGCATAATTTTGAAAATGAATGGACTACCTGAATATACCTATATTATATAATTCAGTACTATATATTCATAATTTTATCACAATTTTATTGATCGTTTTCTCCTGGTTATACAGAGTGTAATTTAATTGATAGTTAAAAATATAGGATATGATTCCTTACCTCATTTTGTGAAGAAAAATTGATATGAACATATGCCCTGAAACTAGTTCTTGTTCAGTATATTGAAGTTAATCTTTCTTGAAAATTCCAAAACCCTATAGCTCGGATGTTGAGAGGTTTAGGGCATATGTTCATATCAACTTTTTTTCTTAAAATGAGCTGAGGAACCATATCCGTTATTTTCAGCCATAAACTAAATTACACGCTGTATAGTTTCAAATTTATCTCAGTTTAGTTAGTTTGTTGTCATATATTATTATATATACATATATTATGTTCAATAAATCATGGCATTGTTTTATAATGTTTGTTCTGAGAATGTTGGTATATTCATACATACCTATATTCTTTCAAATACTTTAGATCGATTGTCGGAATATTTCGTATAACGTTCCTATATCCATATTATTGACTTATTCGTTCATACCATCAGGTCCGTCATTCTATATGTTCATATGAAATATTATCGAATTGAAGTTTCGATGGTTTGTATGACCAATTAATGAATTGAAGATTGTTGAAATTTACACATTCTTAGTACTATCATTTCTGGTTTGAAGGACGAAATAGTAAATCCCTTTACTCCAAGATTGGATTCTAGTTATAATTATATTATATCGTTCTCATCGGAACTGAATCATTGTGAAGCAGTCCAGATCAATTCCTATTTATTTCATTGTTGTTGCCATAGAAGAACTATGTCATTGTTATTTTTCACGTTTGAATAATAATTATTACACCTCTGGGTATATACCGCTGGGTATACCCTATATAATACCTTCACAGTGCGAAGCAGATCATAAAATGCTAATGAGGGAGACAGTTCGTTTCTAGGCAATGAATAGTACATGTGCTTAGACAAAAATATTTTGATTCGCTCAAGAGTCGACACCTATTTATTGGGCATCACTGTACTCCAGAACCCAATAAAAGTTTTTAAAAGAAACTGGCATCAACTTCACATGAGACCCTGCATGAGACCTTCTTTCCACCAGGTACCATTCTTTTTACATTTCTACAGACTATTGGTATATTTGCTACATAAATGATCAAACTGACAACAAATTACATAGGCAGCCACAATAATTGGTGAATGTGCTGCCCTCATTTGACACTCATATCTCCAAACCCAACACCTTCAGTTTTGAAGCAAAACCTTTTTCATAGATGGGAGATGGAGGACAACCATACCATATCGTATGGTGCTGAAGGATGGAATGTAAATGTGATATTTGTTATGATGAGAGTTTGTGAAAAACCCTCCAGCAGGTCCATTTTTTTTTTTGAAAACTCATTCCATGACTCAGATCAGAATATACAAGGTGATGGCATAGATGAGTTGAAATTGAATACTTAATGAATAGGCAATTGTTTCAAATGAGACACCCAGTCTATTATGTACCATATTGACATAACAATTTTCATTAGGTAACAATTGAAATGATACTGGGTTTGATAGGAGAATGTCGAATGACTTCAAATATATGGGCCAAAAAACTCCCACCAAATGCCTGTGAGGAAGAAGTGTCTCCACCTAGCATTCCACCTAATACTACCTACTTGAATGAACTGGGAGATGGTGGATATTCAGATTCTCAAATATTCTCTGCTAATAAAACTGTTCAATCAGATGTCTCATAATAATAGGTACTAATAAGTAAACTATTCATAAACTAGTTTAACCATCCTATGCTTCAGGCTGAATCTGGTTTTTGGTCTGGGTGAAAAACCATTCATTGAAGCTTCATAATCACTCTTTTAAAGACTTTCAAGGACGAAAACTTACCCTTACAGTATATGTGGCCCCTTGTTTTGCAATCAGTTTATCAGAGTGTATCCAACCACCTGATGGCTTCACATTAAAGGCTGACATTTCCACTGTACACGGTACTACTAAAATTACCAATTTTCATAATTTTGTATAAGTATTACATGGTTATTTTGCCACAGTAGGCGTAGACCGCGTAAACTGGGTTGTCATGATTTATGAACATGATGCAGTAGTTATTATGAAACCTCCTTCTTAATAATTAATCCATCCGTTTGGTTGATACTTGTGATTTTGTGATTGAACACACTGTGGAAAGTTTGACAAAAATATTAGAATTTCCTGTCACTACAGCCAGCCGTAAATAACAATAACATTATGATTCACTTGTAATAGTTGAAATACTTCCAATGAGTAATATGAAGTTCAAAGATTCATAACAATGACACTACCACAGATAACGATGACATTATAATAAAATAATTATTTTGATTTGAAATATGTAAATAATAACTATTCTATACAAAATCCCACTACACTTATTTCGGCTGTCGCCTGTCTCTGTCAACCGTCAACCGCTACGGGCGCGGGCGCCAAGGTCTATTAACTTCTATAAGGTTACCTCATAGTATAGCATTATGGTGCGGGGGTGCGCGGAGGGGCGTGACGTCAGTGTTTCCCCACCACGTGATTGTAGATTTCGTTTGTGTCACTGTCAAATGAATTGAAAAAATTTTTGAATTTGAATTCGAAAGAATCGCGAATTTTAGACTTTAGTTGAAAACAGGGTGACAAGAAGACTGAGGATATCTTTGAAAGAGTGTGAGAGGTTGTATAATAATATGGTGTAGTATTATCACAGATTAACAGTGGTATTATTCAAGGCTGGAAACATCATAAATATCATAATATTATTGTGTGGAGTCAAGAGTGGATATAGAACAAACAAATGTTATGAAATGCCTGTTTGGCAGCCTCCACATGAGATTCAGATAATTCCAAAGGAAAATGATGAGCTGTGGCAATGTGAATGTCCCTGTGAAGCAGGCATGTCACGGTTTTGTATACACATTTTATAGGGACTTATATTGACAGGTAGGAAGGTGCACTTTTGATCTATCACACACGACACAGGTAAAAAATACATGAAATTTCAGGAATGAAGACTTGGGAATATGTGAAGCTGCATATATAACAAACAGAAGTGGTGAAAATTGAAAAAAGAGAGTAGATCAATCAATGATCTATTATACAGCCAAACCATTTCAATAGTTCTGCTACCTGCTTATTAAAAGAAGGAAAGTTACCCCCTAAAATCATTCTTCCTTTATATAATTGAAGTTAATTTTACAGGGTATATATCAGTCTATTTTGTTTTTTGTTTAGAAGCCAATGAACTCAATGTAAACAACTAGCTATTGCATGGTACTCAGGAATACTGGTGAGTTTATTAAATTTTACTTATACTTGCTACTTCATTTTTACATGTAGCAAGGAGTCTTGGGGAAAAAGGCAATCAACTTCTTCTTTCCAAAGGATTTTTCAAATAAATTTGTTCAGCATGGAGTTGAATATGAATCCAAAGCTCTTTCAAAATGTTCATTGAAAATGATATTGAATTTCAAATCATGCAAACAAATTTGTGTCCCAATATTTTCCATGGTTAGGATTTTCTCAATATGAAATTATTTTTCAGGAAGGAAGACCATGGAAATAATCGAAATAAGTGTCCTTACTGAGGTCCTTACATAGAGGTTTGTTAAATAATGTGTATTACATTCAGCTTGAATTATTTTCTCAAAATTTTAGGTAAAGGTTCAGAACATTTTGTGGAATAATGCCATTTCTTGATAGGAGATGGTATAAAAAATGTGAAGTTGGAGAGACACACTTATTATGGATAAATTCAGTTGGGAATAATGGCCCTAAAATGTCCCTAATGAACTTGAAAGAAACTAATTTTCTTGTATGATTCTTCTTCCTCCAAAACTTACATAAAGATTCCAGTTTTTTTGTGATACATTTTGTGTTAATGTTATGAGGAAGATATCTCAAAGATATTTCCATTATGTTGCACTTTTATTGCATTAATAAAATGGAATGAATTGTGATGACTTCTTTATTAATTCATTTTCTTATTATTGCATTTTCAAACAATAATATGTTCCAAATTGATACTGAAATAAAACCAGTGAGTTAGAATCATTCAATTTATCCAGAAGGAAATCCTCTTTAGTTAATTGTTTCTTGTTTCTCAGAAATGATGGCCTAATCAATTTCAAGATATTTCTTCACATCCCTTGTCAGCATGCCCTTGTCCACCATGATTCCATCATTAGGTTCAGACTTCCCAATAACATTTTCTTTATTAAAAAATGCTTTATCAGTAGCTCAACCTCCATATCACTAAATGCCAACAGTAATCAGTCCTAATGGAGTGATATTGCAATAAGAATTTGACTGAGTTTATGTAATGTGTCTGTACAACAGAATAAGCACTGGGGAACATAACATAATTATCTTTCTACATTTCTGTTTTCAGTCTTTTGTACTTGCTGCATGTTTTGGGAAAACAGTGAACTATCTCGTGGATACAAAAACATATTGGAAAACTTCAAAATTTATCAATATTCACTTGATTGCACAATGCTAAATTTGTTTGTTTTGTTTTTCACCTCCGCCATTTTCATTTTGCCGTTCGACAAAAGACGATGGGGAAACAGTGACGTCAGGGCAGGTCAATATGAGGCAACCTTATAGAGTTGAATAGCCTTGCGCGGGCGCTACGTCTTGCGCTGCGGCGACACAAACGTCTCTCGCCAGTCTTTCAATTGTATGCTGCAGTACTGCGGTATTATGAGGAAGGCATCTAGGGAAACATCGTTTCTGCATGATACATATGGGACTACTTTCAACATAAATCGCCCTGAATGAACCTTTTTCCTGAAAATTATGTTTTTCAAAAAGTTACTTAGGTGAAAACAGAAGGTTATAATCATATATCTATTACTCCATAATAGTATAACGAAGAAAAATAACGTTTCTACATGGGAAAGTGACTTCATTAAACCGTATTCTTCCTAAATGATGCATTTTCTGAAAAGTATATTTTTGAAAAAAATCTCATGAAAAAATTGAAAAAAAAAAAAAGTGTTGCCCCGCAGGGATTTGAAAGCGAGCCACCATCGTGGAAGTCACTCACTTTAAAGACTTTTATTGTTCACACAAATTACATTACGACACAAATTTACAGGCACATTCCAGAGAGAAACATATTATTAGAGCTCAGGGCTCTGTGATGAGTCCTCCGCGCGGTGCAGAGGTGGCTGGTGTCGGCCAAGGAACGTGGGTGTATTTGCGAAGTGTTAGTCTCAGAGGCCTATCTCTTGAGGCCAAGCCCCTTATATAGGTGATCTCGCTGAGGTGACCCAAGAGGGTGGGGGAGACGATCAGTCGCTATCAGTGGTGAGTGAGTTATGGGGAAGGGGATGGAGGAAAATGAAAGGTGAAAAACAAAAACCTCCTGCTCGTTAAGCTCGGCCCGTCCCGCCCACGCCCCTCGCCCGGTCCTGGTTATGGGCCAGGGCCAAGCAAGGGAGCGCGTGCGCTATTGACCGAGTTCAGTGTCGGATCGTCACTTTGGGTGGGATCCTCCACTACTTATTTTCATGCCTTGAGAAATTGTGCTGGAAGTCAGATACACAGACCACTGTGCTATCAAGCTACTGAAAGGTTCTAGCTATGAAGAAGAAATATCGTGTGTTGGTTTGTTTATCACAACAAACAGCACAGCAGCAGGCTACTAATTAAATTACTTGCGACAGACATTTGAGACAAATGAAAATCATTGTGTCAAAATGGGATCACACTTCGATTCAAAACATGATGAAGCAAAGTATAACCATAGTTTTACCATTCACTTTCACTACTGGGCCTTGAGAAGTTAGAGGTGAAATAGTGATTTTTGTTTTTCCTTGTATAATGATCAAGCATAATTTTTTCTTGGAAACTAAAATGCATGCCATTATTCCGAAACATGAATACACGATCTTGTCGGAATTTCAATGAATTCGGAGAAGAATTTGAAAATTTGTCTATGGTCGGTGTTTTTGATGGTGTGTAGAAAAACTTGGAAGCAGTGTACGGTGTACGTCGCAGGGCCTTGCGAAAGCTTCGCTCACGGCCGAACCTGATACAGCAAATCGATATCGGCCTCAACAGTAAATGCCTCTACAGTTTTGTTTTCAGCAAATAATTCGATTCGATCCCGGGACCTTTCCATATCTGTAGGCACAAACTTATTTATTGGGATCTTTTTTTTTTTCAATAAAATTAGACAATGACATGAGACAAAACGAAACAACATTTTGAAAAGGTATAAAAAAACAAACTCCGCTCAGTGCAGTATCGGATGGTCAACTTATAAACATCTCAGTTGGATGGTAAAAGCCGAAGAGGAGTATTGTCCATACTTCCTGGCAAATGAACTCTGTTTCCTGGAGCACAGCTCCTTACAACAAACACAAGCATTTTCGTGATGGAAATTGGCATGATGATAGGGAAAACAAGAAGAAAAATCTCTTTTCGGATGTAGACACGCACGTTGCTCACTTGGCCATTGCAGTTGTTGTGAAAATACGTAATGCGACTCCATTCAGCACATTACTGGATATAACCACAGTATGTAACATTTTGATAACTTTGCACCGTTCATATGAAGTTTTATTCTTGAAGTGGGTCCAAGAATCGCCCCCTGAAATGTTACGCGGTAAATCTCGAATTTCAGCAAACGACCGCCGTGATTTTAACCACAGATCACGGAGCTGTGCTTCAACCATATATGTACTATTTCTATATATGGCCCATCGTTGAGATGTTCATTCTTAGTCATCGCCTATACGATATCTCAACAAAAATGGGACCAAAATGAGAGATACTTTTTGAATCTATAAGGGCGGATAGTGAAGGATGGAAACCAAGTTTCGTATTATTTTCCCCTACGTCGGCATCAACACCTATTGGTCGATTTCGTTACCTATAGAGACAGGAGTTGGTCCAGCTTTGAGGACAGCTATGCTTCATATATGAGTAGTACATATATGGCT